CCACAGGAGAGTCTCGTGAGACAGGAGGCGACAAGAACAGGGGGCAGACTCAGGACCTGACCGGGACGCAGCAGCAAGTACCTGACCGGACGCAGCCACCTGACCAGACGCAGGGACAGGGGGAGACTCAACGGTCAGGGTGTAGAGACTCGACCCCGGCCGACGCGAGAACGTGGCCAGGTGTCGGCCTGTGCGTGCCTCCGTGCAGTGGGTCACCCGCTGACTCGCAGGAGTGAACTGGTGAACACCCACATCCTGCATGTCCGCTCCACTCACCAAGTTCGTAGAGAACGAGGGAAGGTACAGACCCGACAGGGTGCCCGAAGGGGCAGCCGGACACGGGAGGACAGTGGAGAAGTGAGACAGGACAGGACCCCCAGAGGGGTCAGCAAGGGAGACTGCAACCGGCCGGCCGAGCGGCGTAAGGGTAGTGCGGTCTCGAAAGAAGGAGCGAGAAGCTCCGGAGTCAAGTGTGAAAGTGAGGGAGGACGAGGACGACTCAGTACCTGAGAGCGCAGTCTCACCAGTACCTGAGAGCGCAGACGCACTGGCACCTAGAGCAGTAGCCTCACAAGCACCTAGCGCAGCAGTACCAATGCCCGGGTCGGGCTGGAAACAGCGGTAACCCTCATTCTCCTCACTATAATCCACAACATACATAGCAGTAAGGATAGCATCAAAATCAAGATCAAAGATCGCTACACCAGCCCTGAGAAGCTCATCCCAGCGAGGGATCTCACTAGCCCCAGGGAACTGCTGACGCCAGGCGTCCGTCAGGCGGCCAAAGCAGCGCTGGGTGGCGTGGGCACCCCCACACTGCTCACCCGCGCGGTCGTCGGAACGAAGAACGTAGGTGCAGGGACCAGTACCCCCACCCCTCTGACGCCCAGCGTACCACTCACGAAGCTGCTGAGGCGAAGGGATGTCCCGAGAGCGCTGCTGCTGCTGCCGCTGCGAGCGCTGGCCACCACCACCGCCGCTACGCTGCTGGGTACCACCCCGACCAGCTCCACCCCCTCCACCACCACTGCCTCCTCCGCTGCCGCCTCCACCGCCTCCACCTCCGCCGCCTCCACCTCCGCCGCTGCCTCCACAACCACCGCTGGCACCACCACCACCGTCTCCGCCGCTGCTGCCACCACCACCACCACCCCCGCCACTAGTCCCGCCGCCACCCCCACTCCCTCCGCCGCCACCGCCGCCACCGCCAACGCCCCCTCCAGCTCCACCCGCGCCCTTGCCCCCCTTGCCCTTGCTGGAGCGACGTCTCCCACTAGGGGCAGACGCCGCGCCGACCGACTCAAGACCAAGCAGGTCGGCAGCAGCAGCAGAGGCAACAGAGGGCAGCAAGGGGGAAGGAGAGCACCCCTCAAAGATGGGGGTGGGAGGGTCACCACGAGAAGCACCTACAGCGACTATGCTCTTCTCCGCTGCGAGGAGGGCCTTCTCGAGGAGGTCGACGGTGAGGGTGGTGGGACAGACTGCGAGAAAGTGGTCCCTGACGACGCGAAGGGAGTCAGGGAGGCGCGCGACTACGTAGTAGAGAGCGATGTACATGGGGGGGGGGGTTCTTAGCGCAGAACTCAGCAGGAAGGGCGGCGCGGTAGCGAGTGTCACTAGTGCGGAGGTGCGTAATGAGGTCAGCGACAGTGGGAAAGGCAGAGAGGTCAGGAAAGAGGTAGGGAAGCATGAGACGGCTCAGTGCAGCAGTGGCAGGGGAGGAGTAGCGCGCAACTACAGCATCGTACAAGGTCTGAGCACTCTTGTACTGACTGAAGTGCGCACGCTCAGAGGTAGGGAGGTGGCGACGCACAGCAAGACGTGCAGCAGCATCGCGGGTGGCCCACTTAGAGCGGACAGCGGGATCAGCATCAGCAGCAGGAGCAGGAGAGGCGCCAGAGGTGAGATCAAAGAGAGAAAGGTCGTCAGCCCTGTCGCACTGTAAGAACAGCTGCAGGTCGTCTAACCAGACCTCAAAATCAATGGCGCGACCCTCAGCGTCAAAATCTAGGACACTAGGGGTAGCCATGGCGACGACAACGACGCAGTGCAAGCAGCAGGGAAAGAGCTCGCAGTGTCAGTGGGACTGTGCTCACCAGGCAGGGCAGGTTGTGTAGGTATGCAGAAAGGCGGCTCAGCGACCTGGCGGCTCGGGTGCTGGGCGGCTCGGCTGCTGGGCGGCTCGGGCGCAGGGCGGCTCGGCTCCCGGGCGGCTCGACGGCTGGGCGGCTCGGGTGCAGGGCGGGTCAGGCTCAGGGTCGGCTGCGGCTGGGCGGCTCGGCTGCGGCTGGGCGGCTCGGCGGCTCCTGGGCGGCTCGGCTGCTCCCGGGCGGCTCGGCGGCTCCGGGCGGCTCGGTTGCTCTGGGCGGCTCGGCTGCTGCTGGGCGGCTCGGCGGCTCCCGGGCGGCTCGGCGGCTCCGGGCGGCTCGGTTGCTCTGGGCGGCTCGGCTGCTGCTGGGGCCGTGTAGGTAGGGCGGCTGGGCCGCGAAGGTAGGGCGGCGGGCGGGCCGCTGATAGGGCGGCAGGTGGGCCGCAGGTAGGGCGGCGGCTGGCCGCAAGTAGGGCGGCGAAGGGCCGCGGGTAGGGCGGCGAAGGGCCGCGGGTAGGGCGGCGGGTGGGCCGCAGATGAAGTGGCGGGGCCGCGACTGGGCGGTGGGGCCGCGATCAGAACGGGCGGCGGGGCCGCGACTGGGCGGCGGGGCCGTGACTGGGTGGCGGGGCCGCGACTGGATGGCGGGGCCGCGTCGAAGTGGCGGGGCCGCGAGTGGGCGGTGGGGCCGCGATCAGAACGGGCGGCGGGGCCGCGACTGGGCGGCGGGGCCGCGACTGGGTGGCGGGGCCGCGACTGGGTGGCAGGGGCCGCGCGAAGGGGTGGCGGGGCCGCTAGAAAGGGCGGCTGGGCCGCTAGTAAGGGCGGCTGGGCCGCTAGTAAGGGCGGCGGGACCGCGTCTGAAGGGCGGCGGGGCCGCAAGGGGACAGGGCGACTCGGAGGGTCGCTAAAAAAAGAATCGCGCGCCTCGGGGCGCGCTTCGGTGGGCCCTAGGCGAAGTTCCCACAGGGAACCTGCTCTATACCATGTGAAACTGAAGAACAAGAATGAAATGACTAAGGAAAGATTGGGTACAAATACAACCCTAGAAACCCTGTACCCCATATGTGCTACCCCACTATAGCCTACAGCAACTATGTCATATAAATCTGACAGAGTGACCGCGACCCGAAGTTTACATCGAAATTCTGGAAGGAGACGTGGGCGCAGTACGGCACGAAACGACAGTTCTCATCGGCATATCATCCGTAGACGGACGGCCAGACCGAGCGGACCAGTCAGACCATGGAGCAGCTGAACAGGACAAACTGCCCCGACCCTGCCCGCTGGGAAGACTCACTCGCTATGTTGGAGTTCCCTTTCAACAACGCCCCGTCCAGTACGAGAAAAAGCCGCAGACGCAATTCGCAAGGCGAATATCACTTCCCGCAAATACACCGACCTTCTACGCCGAGAACTTGTCTTGACCACTGGGCAACTAGTGCTACTTGACATGAAGAACCTGCACCTGCCCAGCCCGTCGAAACTACGGCCACGATTTTGTGGGCCATTCAAGATTATCAAGATGGTGACACCCGTCACCGCGAAGCTGTTGCTGTCCGACGACTGGCGCATTCATGACGCCTTCCACGTCAACCTCCTTCGAAAGTTCGTGCTACCCACGACCGGCATCGCGCGGCAACAAGCTGCCCCAACTGCACGACGTGTCCCGGAGCCGATTCTTGACCCTTCAAAGATTTTGGCACATCGGGTTCGACTTGACGAAGCTCGTCGCCATGTAGATTTCTTAGTCCGTTGGACTGATTGCACCAGTGAAGACGACACGTGGGTGCACTCCGACTCGCTGAACGCCTCGTCACTTGTTGGTGATTACGACGCGCAGTCGTCTTTCGGATATTGACGGCCTTTCTTAAAGGGGGGGGGGGGTAGTGTAAGGAATTTTCCCGAATCCCCTATCGGGATTGACTGCTTCGCGTACAGCCCGATTTTCGAACTTCGCACGTTCGGCCGATTTCAAACGCTGCCGAGGCTCCTCGCGTCGTCTTCGGCATTTCCCAATCGCCAAACCTGCACCCAACCTCGCTCGTCCGAGGTTCCCTCCTAGCTAGGCTAGTCCCTACATTAGTCTGTGCCTTCATTGTATTCTCAGATCAGTTAATCACAGTCTCGTTATTCGTTTACCTGCGTACTCTCTTTTACAGCTCATAACACTGGAAACCGAGGTAACCGGTTACCTCGTGAAGAGTAGGATTGGCATTTTAGCCAGCGCGCAGGTGGTTTCTGCGAGTGTCGAGCGGCACTGGCGAAATCGTGCGAGCAATACAGAGGGAACTTACTGTACCTAACTGGACGCGATACTGTACCCGAGTTCGCATGCACGATGTATGCAGTTACGTAAGTCACATGACTCGAGCTACGTGCAGCTGGCGTGCCGTCTCGTGTACAAAAGCCGGTCGTGTCCACACTTTCTGAAAAATGCAGTGTTACAGCTCAAAATGTGATAAATGCAGATTTATGAACGGTAATGTTTCGCGCTGGACACGCCCTAATTCAGGTCGTCAAAAAACGCTGAGTTCAGGGCCAAACTAGGGATCGTCATAGCAGAGAAGAGATTCACCTCGCCGAGTTCCACGCCGGTTTAGGGTTCCGCCTTACGCTCTGGGACGATGCCTTCATTTCGACGGGATCAGTCGCCCTTGCTGAGCCGCGCGCCTTACATCTCGGGAGACTGCACGTAGCTAGCCATGCCCGTTCACGCGGATATGCCCATCGTCGTCCGCTGATTCACTGACACTTCGCCAGGCGCATCGGTGTCGCGGTTGTTCCTAGCCGCGCCCGGTTCTATGTGTAGGGTATTGCATTCCGCGTTACTCAGATTTCGGTCCATTTACATCGTCGCCGTCGCCTACGTTCACTCCCCTCCGTCGCCCACGCGACCATTCTCCCGTCAATGTCGCACACTTCCCTCCATCGCCATAGCTCACTCCCCCTCATCGCCTTAGCGCACTCCCCTCCCGTCGCCTTCGCGCACTCTCTCCCGTCGCTTTCTTGCACTCCCCTCCCTCGCCTTCGTGCACTCTCTCCCGTCGCCTTCGCGCACTCCCCTCCAAAGAGGATGATCACTCCCTCCCGTCGTCCACGCTTCCTTCCTGACGCACGATCACGCTCCCTCCCCTCCCGTCGCCTTCGCGCGACGCCTCTTTTGCCCCTCTTCACTCTCTTCCGTTGCCCACGCTCACTCCCCTCCCGTCACCCACGCTCACTCCCCTCCCGTTGCCCACGCTCACTCCCCTCCCGTCGCCCACACTCACTCCCCTCCCGTCGCCCACGCTCACTCCCCTCCCGTCGCCCATGCTCACTCCCCTTACGTCGTGTACGCGCACACCCATCTGTCACTCCTAACGCTCCCTCCCCTCTAACGAGAATGGGGACTCCCCGTGCCAAGCACCACCCCTTCCTCCAGCTACGCCACACCTCACACTCTCGTCTCCCCATCCCTCATCTCCCCTTCCCTCATCTCCCCTTCCCTCATCTCCCCTTCCCTCATCTCCCCTTCCCTCATCTCCCCTTCCCTCATCTCCCCATTCCTCATCTCCCCTTCCCTCGTCTCCCCATCCCCCATCTCCCCTTCCCTCACCTCCCCATCCCTCATCTCCCCATCCCTCATCTCCCCTTCCCTCGTCTCCCCATCCCGACTCTCCCCTTCCCTCACCTCCCTGTACCTCATTTCCCCATCCCGCCTCTCCCCATCCCTCATCTTCCCATCCCGCCTCTCCCCATCCCTCATCTCCCCTTCCCTCATCTCCCCTTCCCTCATCTCCCCTTCCCTCGTCTCCCCTTTCCTCATCTCCCCTTCCCTCATCTCCCCTTCCCTCATCTCCCCTTCCCTCATCTCCCCTTCCCTCGTCTCCCCTTTCCTCGTCTCCCCATCCCTCATCTCCCCTTCCCTCGTCTCCCCATCCCCCATCTCCCCTTCCCTCACCTCCCCATCCCTCATCCATCCATCCCTCATCTCCCCATCGCTCATCCATCCATCGCTCATCTCCCCATGCCTCACCTCTCCATCGCTCATCAATCCATCCCTCATATCTCCCCATCCCTCATCTCCCCAAGGAGTCATATCTCCCCTGCCCTCATCTCCCCATGCCTCGCCTCCCCATCCCTCATCTCCCCGTCCCTCATCTCCCCATGCCTCCCCTCCCCATCCCTTATCTCCCCATCCCTCATCTCCTCATCCCATTTCCCCCATGCCCATTCTCTTTTTCTCGTTCACTCTTCCCCATTTCCCCTAGCTCACTCCCTTTCTCCCGTCACTCACCCCGTTTGCCCCCTGCTCAATCTCTTCTCTCCTTGTTTCGTCCCAATTCCCCCCTGCTTTCTCTTAGTCACCCTTCTTTCATTCAAGGTCGTCGCTGTTCACTCTCTTCCCTCCTTTCACTCACCCCATTCCCCATCCTCTCCTCTCCCCATCCTCTCCTCTCCCCATCCTCTCCTCTCCCCATCCTCTCCTCTCCCCATCCGATCCTCTCCCCATTCGAACCTCTCCCCATCTGATCCTGTCCCAGTAGAGGCGGACATGGTGCTGCTGGAGTCCCTTCCGCCCTTCCTCCCATCATCACTTCCTCCCATCATCACTTCCTCCCTTCCTGCATTCCTCCCTTCCGCCCTTCCCCCCCTTTTTCATTCATCCGTCCTTCCCTTCCAATGTTCGTAACTTCATCCATCCTTCCTTTCATCCATCCCTCCCTCGTTTCCTTCTCTGCTCTCATCGTTCCCGCCCTGCTTCCCCTCATTTCCCTCCCCTCCCCTTCATTTCCGCCGCTGCTTCCCCTCACTTTCCCCCCTGCTTCTCCTCAATTCCCCCTCTGCTTCCTAGGATTTACCCCTCTGTTTCTCCTCATTTCCCCCTCTTCTTCCCCTCGTTTCATCTTCCTATCTCCTACTTTCCCTCTCCCCCTCTTCCTATCTACCCTCTTCCCTCTCCTCCCTGTTCCTACGGTATTGATTTATTTCCCTCTCACCCTCTTCCTATCTCCTCCATTCCCTCACCCCCCCTCTTCCTATCCCCTTTCCCTCTCACATCGTCATATCTCCCCCTGTCCCTTCCCCCTGCTTCCCTCTTCCCCCTCTTTCCCTGCTTTCCCCTCCCCAACGCTCGTATTCTCTCCCTCTCCCTGGCTATTGCAGTGACTACACTGATTATTTTTCTGGTACTGCAACTGGCTCAGAGGCCCATCATCCCATGCCATGCTCGTAGAGAGAATAGTTCCCTTCATGTTTTTTTCGAGGCCTTGGAAAAGGTACAATCAAAAGTATCATGCACATGCCTTTCTGTACCCTTCTGACACTCTTAGTGTCCATGCATCTTGGAAGAATATCTTGCATTGCAGAAGCAAAATACATTCGGTATTGTGCCTTTGAGATCCATCTCTTCAACAAAAATACAGTATCATGCATGCATACAACACAAAAGAAACAGGTGGTGGACGATGCAAAGCATAGACTAGCTGCGCCTCAGCTTGCTCATCTGCTTCACCACTGAAAAATAGGGGAGTGGAGTAGGCAGAAAGATTCGTGAGAGGGAACATGGGGAGGTGGTGTGAGGTGCCATGCCAAGGGAACAACAGTAGGGGAATGCAGGCAAGCGCACATAATGAAAACATGTATGGGGAGACACTATTGGGTGCAGATGCATGGGTATTAGAGGGCCGAAGGTGAGGAGTGAGGGGGGAGGGCAGGGCATGAAAAGGGAAGGGTTGAGAACGGCTGGGGGGGGGAAGGGCGGAGCTGGGAGGAAAAGGCAAGGATGGGGAGGGCAGGTGGGAACAGGGCAGAGGGTGCAAGAGAGTGAGAGTGTAAGAGGATGGAGGGAGAGAGTGCAGGAGGAAGGAGAGTGGGGGAAGGAGGGTGGGAGGAAAGGGCAGAGATGGGGGTTCCTAGTGTCAACGGGAGTTGTGTGTTGGCCTCGTCCTCGCTTGGGCGGAGCCGACTTCGTGGTTGGGTGTACGGGATGTGCAGCCGACTTGCAGAAGTGGGCGACGCCGACTTGGGCGAGCTGGTCGACGGGTTTGGTCCACTTGCACGGGGTCACTGCAATGCCGCCGACTTCAGCTGGTGGTCGGCGATGTGGCGCGTCAACCTGGAAGTCGTCGCTGTCAGAATCAGCGAACAGGAATGAATCAACTAGAAGTGAAAAGAGTACAAGTAGTAAACCCTAGAATTGTGTACCCCCTATAGGCTAACCCACTGTAGCCTACACAAGTATAACATATATAATGTTTGACACACCCTGTCAAGATAGTAGGTAATAGAGAGTAGAAACGTGGGGCCTAGGCTTAGTAGCCTAGGCCCTAACTTAGTATCGAGCGGGTTTTCCCCTAGGGTGAGAGTCGAGTGAGTTGAGAGGAAAATTGTGAAAAGGAGGGTTTCACTATAGGTTCAGGGGTACATATAGCATAGAAACACAATAAGGTGCACCACCAACAAAAGTTTACATAACTACACTAACTACAACTACAAGCAATTATAAAACATGACAAAATATTTCGACACGCCCCCATAATGCTTGTAGGTAGGTGTGTAGTTACAGCAACAGCAGGTACCCCTACCATCTCCTCACCCTCCTCCTTCCCCTCCCCAACACTGCTGCAGAAGCAGCAGAGAAAGGGGGGGAAAGAGGAAAGGTGGAGGGACGGCTGCTTGTTGCCTCACCCCCGCCACCCCGGTACCACCCCCCCCCCTCACCCACATCCTCACACCCTCCTCCCCCAGCGGCAGCTGCAGCGGTGGGACTGAAAGAAGGAGGAGGGAAAGGGAGAGAGTTGACCCCACGCTCCAACACCCTCCACCCCCATACCCTCCTCCCCACGGCTGCAGGGAGACAAGAGAAAGGGGGGGGTGGGAAGGAAGAAAGCCGCAGAGCGGCGAAGAGGCGTCGGTGCAGATGGGTCAGGGACGGCAGCAGGGAGTGCAGGGGCGGAGAGGCCCGTCGCGGGCCAGTGCCACGGGGCGCACGACGGGTAGGATAAAAGGGCCCGATCGTGTGCCTCGGGGCGCACGACGAGCAGGGCACCATCGTGTGCCTCGGGGCGTACGATGGGCAGATAAAGGGCACCGTCGCGTGCCACGGGGCGCGCGACGGGCAGGATAGGAGTCACACGCCCGTGGGCGGGACAAGGTAAAACTAAAATCGTCACGCGCCCTAGGCGCGCGACCGGAAAATCTCAGCAGCGGAAGAGTAACGCGGGCCCACAGGCCAGGACGAAAACAGCTCCGATAACATGTCAAGATAGTAGGTAATAGAGAGTAGAAACGTGGAGCCTAGGCTTAGTAGCCTAGGCCCTAACTTAGTATCGAGCGGGTTTTCCCCTAGGGTGAGAGTCGAGTGAGTTGAGAGGAAAATTGTGAAAAGGAGGGTTTCACTATAGGTTCAGGGGTACATATAGCATAGAAACACAATAAGGTGCACCACCAACAAAAGTTTACATAACTACACTAACTACAACTACAAGCAATTATAAAGCATGACAAAATATTTCGACACACCCCCATAGGCAAAGTGGGGGAGAACAAGGGGTCACAAGACCAGTCAAGCAAAGCAAAGCAAGCTCAGGGTGGATCACAAAGTCACCACACAGTCCGAGCACAAGAGCAGGGCCAGAGGCCAGTTCACATGCAGGAGTACAGACATATATACAAAACTAGACAAGCAAGAGCAAGTATATATATATGTCACAGTACAAGTAAAGTCAAGAGGAGAGCAAGTGAGGCAAGACAGACACAAGACCCAGCTGGGTGCAAAAGCGCTGATGATCACAAGGCGCGAGTGCCTTGGTGAACACATCAGCAGTGTTGGCCTCAGAGGCCACGTACGCAAGTCGCAACTGACCACGCTGCTGCAGCTCACGAGCAAGGAAGTAGCGGAGAGCAATGTGCTTCGTTCTGTGCTCCAGTCGCTGCTCTCGACACAAGGCCAGCATGGCCTTGTTGTCTACGTACAGCACTGGAGGAGAATGAGGCGGCTCTCCAAGGTCAGTCAGCAGGTAGGTGAGCCAGCGAAGCTCCTGTGCAGCCATGGCCCCGGCGTAGATCTCAGCCTCACAACTCGAGCCGAGAACCGAAGACGAGCGAGTAGACCGCCACGAGACAGAGCCGGAACCAAGGCTGAAGGTGTAACCCTGTGACGACCGCTGCGTAGCCTGGTCGTCAGCCCAAGAAGCGTCCGCGTGGCCGGTAAGGACCACTGGACTCCGCCCTCCAAGCACAAGCCCCATGCCCGACGTACTGCACAGGTAGCGCAATACCCTCTTCGCTGCAGCCATGTGCTCTGGTCTGTGTCTCCCAAGAGCAACATAGCGTGCAAGAATGCTCAGAGGATATGCAAGGTCAGGTCGTGTGCAGGTCATCAGGTACATGAGGCAGCCAACAAGCTCTGCATACGGACCACTCGACTCTACGGACTCATCCGAAGGCAGAGCTGAGAGTGAGTGGCGAGTAGGCAGAGGAGTGGCCTGAGGCGAGGAGTACGTGAAGCCGAAGCGCTGAAGGACCTGCTGCACCATGTGTGACTGAGTCAAGGTAATGGTGCGGCGTGCTCTGTCCCGAGTGATCTGCAAGCCAAGGTAGCTGCGCAGTTCACCCAGGTCTGTGCACGTGTGTCTCTTCAGCAGTTTGGACTTCACGTAGGCGAGTCCAGCAGTGTCCGCTGTGGCAAAGACCAAGTCGTCGACGTACACGAGGATGTAGAACGGTGGCAGTGAAGTGTCGGTGCGCAGAAACAGCGACGGGTCAGCAGTAGAAGGAGCAAACCCAAGAGCCGCAAGCGTAGTCCTCAGTGTGTCGTGCCACTCACGCGGTGCCTGGCGGAGACCGTAGACTGGCCGTCGGAGGCTCCACTGGGTGCCAGGAGGGAAAGTCCCAGTGAAGCCAGGTGGACGGCGCAGCCAGATCTCCTCGTGCAGGCTACCCTGCAGGAACGCAGTGCTGAAGTCGAGAGAGTGAAGCTCGTAGTCGCGCTGAGCGGCTATGTGCAGCAGAACCCGAAGAGTGGTCATCTTCGGGGTGGGAGAGAAGGTCTGAAAGTAGTCAACTCCCTGCCGCTGACTGAAGCCACGAGCCACGTACCGCGCCTTGAAGACAGGTGGAGAGCCCGGCGGCCGCTTCACCCGGAAGATCCACATGCCACTGACGATGTTCGCCCCAGGAGGGGGAACTGCGTCAACGTAGGTGCCTGTGGACTTCCAGGAAGCCATCTCTGCATCCATAGCTGCCGTGCCACTGAGAGGAGTAGGGACCCTCTACGGCCTCCGCGTAAGAACGCGGAGTCGGGATGTCTAGAGCATCCGGGTCTCCCTCAGGGGCAAGCAGTACAGACGCGAGATGAGGTGAAGCAGCCGCCAGACATTGTAACTCCTCCTGTCTGTCCTCTAGGACGTCCGTGCCAAGAGCACACTCACCCCCGACGGACGGAGGACAGACAGACGCAGACTCAGCAACAAGACCAGCAGCGTAGTCGAGACGACAGCGAGCAGCAAAGTCAACGAGCTCAGCGACTAGAGCAGACGCAGCAGTGGACTCAAAAGAGGGGTCAGTGACGACAGTAGCAAGCAGACGCGTGACAGTAGGACTGGCAGCGCGAAGAGAGTCCGACTCAGGGTCGGCAAGCGCAGGAAGAGAGGACTCAGGAGGAGAAGGCAAAGGGGCACGCAGAGGAGCAGTGGACGGACGCAGAGACATCCGGTGCGTGCCAGGGACAGGAGGAGGAAGCTGACGCGAACCGCGACCACTAGCGCGAGCAGCACGAACAGGCGACGCGGGACGAGACGCAGGCTCACGACGCTCAGCAAGACCTCCAGTAGGACCAGTGTAAGGAGAGGGAGCAGGCAGAGGAGAGGAAGGCTCCAACAGTGACTGCGACTGGATAGGCTGTGGACACTCTACCGAAGGAGAAAGACCAAGAACCTGCTGTAGGAGCGGAATGAAGTACGGCCGAGGCCGCGCGGCAGCTCCAGACTCAGCAGGGACAGCACCACCACCCTCAGCGACAGCACCAGCGCCACCCACACCTCCAGCGGCAGGACCAACAGCAGTAGGCTCAGCACGAACGCCCTCAGCAGCTCCAGCTCCAGGAGGACCCGCAGGTCCAGCAGCTCCGGGACCGGCAGCACCCGCACCCTCGACGGTCGAAGAAG